TATTTATGGTCTTCGTATCTAAATCACTGTGTATGGACTGGTTGCATCTTAATTATTTCCTTCGAGCACAAGTGATCCGGATGAGGAGATGGTACATACCCTTGGATACAGCTACTGACGCCATCTTCTCTGTCAGAGTTGGAGTAGATGATGAACCTCCTTCATACAAGGCTCTGCCCATGCTTGGTGTGAGCTATCGCTCAGGTTCGGTAAAACCTGTTAAATGAATCCCGACTTTTACAACCAATCTAGTTTTAGAGCAATAATCTTCTCTTTCACGCTAGAACAGATTAATGATTTGACTTATCCAGGAATGTAACGGATTCTGCAGATGTGTTATCATCCACATCGACTGTCAACATTACACCAGTAATCGTAAACAGGAAGCATGCAAACCACAAACCGGTCGGAATATCTTCCTTTCTACAGCTTTGATCCATTAGGCCTAAAACCACTTTGACGATTTTCCATTCCCTAAACAAAGTCCCATACGGTTAGATCAAAGGCCATAGGCCTGCGTTATGCACTTGTTTTTGACGTTGCACAGAGCAGTCGATCTCTGCCTACATCCACAGTGTGATTCGTGAGCACATCGCCATGTAAAGAGGCACAATGTGTGAACCACGAAGTACCCTTCATCGCGCGATCAAAGGAACCTGCCCTATTTGTCTAACAGAGTTTTGGCAAACTAAAGACACTGCTGCATTTTTGTGAGCAATTTCATCGTTCTCTTGTGGATCTCATCGTGCATCTTTTTATACATAAACCCCCCAGTATGACGCCCAACCGGTGGTTATATCTAACCTCAGATATCAATTCACATCATCAAAAAATAGAGGTTTCGGAGAAATGTTTCGCCTCCATTGTACTGTGGCTAGACCGTGCAAAATGAATCACTGCGCTGAACCATTCATTCTCATTACAGTAAAAATTAGTAAATTCTTTAACAATGAGATGAAATGAGTGATTGTTGTGGGGCAGAAGTTTATTTACAGGGCCATTTTGAGCCTTTGAGTTCTGAAGGTTATTAAAATTTTGCCAAATATCGACGCATTTTCAGCAGTTACTCTACAGCCCGTTTCTCATTTGCCTGAAAGTTTTCAAGTATCACTAACGACAAACGGTACTCATTGTCTAAGTGGCGCGTATGTTCACTCTTCCCTTTTTCTTTTAATGCGTTTAATATATTATTGCTATTGTTTGACAGTTGAAATGCACCTGCATAATTGCTATTGCTCCAGCATTTGCCCTCTGAAGCAGGAGTATATGCATCACATAACAGATTATCCCTATTTTCCATGCAATTGTTGCAGCATTAATTCAAAATCACGGGTTTCCTTCAGGTCACATATGTGGTCAAATCTTGACGCGCAACAAAGTCAGGGAGATTAAAGCACTGTGACAAGTCATGACGGCCTAAACTAGAAGCGGAAAAAATATAAAGTTAAATAAAATCGCAAAAGTGGGCATGAAGTCGATGAAATCGATAGATTTGGTGAGTCATGGCGACGAAATTGAGAAGAGTATTTCATCCCATGCATTTATCACTTCTACAGCTGTTACTTAGTCCTCCTTTCAACTTCCACTTTGCGGCATAATCCCTGGGCTCATCGGTCTTCTGCATGTCGGTAATAATACATATTCTGCTTGAATATTTTGTCTCCTTTCGTCTTTAGGAGAGCCATGAATGTCTGCATTTAGAACAGCTCATAAACAATAAGTAAAGCAGCACCCGAATATGAGTAAACCAAAATTAAAACTGGCACTGATAAATCTAAACACCCTTCAAAAGCAATGTAAAATTGTAGCATCAAATGGGAGGCAAATTGGAATAGACGCGTCCACAGGGCTTTGGTAAACGCAGCAATATGCAAAGTAGGAAGTGACCGCACAAGTGCTTTATAATTTATTCCAGGAAAGTAGTCAGTTGAAGAGTGGCACTGACATCACTTTCAGTTTCCTATATCCCATTTTCTATCCAACCATTATTTTGCTAATAATATGCTAATAATGTGTACATTTCAAAACTCATGGTAATGCCGGGCATCATCAGGCAGCTGTGTGTTTGAAACAGAGTGATTCAGCATTAAGTTGCATTCACTTAGGGCAGAAACTTTGGCTGGAGGGGCAGTAGCATTATATGCTTTTAGTAAAATTTCGCAAAATTGTGACACAGTGTACAAGGTCAGTAATGCCTCCATCGACAAACAAATCCGACGAAGTCATTTTAATGCGCTGAGAGGGTTTTAAGGCTTCTTTGTCCACTGATTTGTATCAGTATGAACATCTAAATTGAGTTCAACTGTAAAATGATGAATTCTCATAATACCTTCGTTTACATCCTCATTAAAAGGTAATAAGAAGTCTTACTGCTAAATGAACAAGTTGAGACTCAAAACCTCATATTAAATAGCGTTTCGTGATGGAATTTTATGCATGAAGCAATTATCAGTGATTGGCAAGTCCCAAATACGAAAGTCTTTGGAAGTGAGTGAATGATGAGGTGGATTTGTTAATTCGCTGCTTCCGTAGATATAAAGCTGAACACGAGGCAGCCATGACCTCGAACAAGCATTCCTCCAATCCCTATTTGTAGGTTGCATCAATCTTCGCAGGACACTTGTGAACTAAACGGGCTGCAAGGGCGCACAATCTGGCTGTATTTGTACACTGAACTCGCCCGCGCCTCAAGCTACTGATTTAACTCAAATTCCATCCTCCCTCCACCTAATTCATTTGCTGCATCTTTCCTCTTCAAAAACTATTTCGCCCATCGCATCCATTCAAATATTTTTGGCCATTCATCCCCTTTCAACAAAAGAAAGCCTTGATAGGGTGTAGGGATAAGTGTACCAGTGAGAGCTTCTCGTTTTTTATATCCAGTGCAAGTATATGAGCGAGTTTGGATAAAATGTGCTAAAGGGAGCAGGGCTATTCGGATTACATTTGCGGTTAGCATTTGAATACGGATTCAACGGAACGGGGAATAAATCTTGAATAGCAGCGAGGGTAATCAGATGGTTTCGTGTCCAAAATTACGTACAACTTCAAGGGAATGCAATTTTTACAACGTCAAGACCCCAGTGACACGGCTGCCACAGTTCAAGCATATTAAAATAAAAGATTTGCAGTCTGTTCATAAATGTTAGAGGTACATTGTCGCAGAATCGACAAAATTCAGCAATTAACACATGTAAGATGTCCACTATTGAAGTTTTACGACTTCAAAGGGGTGCCTCAAAGGGTGAAGTAACAAAAAGTCCAAAAGGCTTGGAGCAAAATACCTCACAGGCAATCCCTTGTGCATGCAATAGAACTGTGCTTCCGGTTTTGCTGAACTCTGGGGCCAATGGCAATGTTACTTTCTGAGGAATGAATATTTGTTGGTGTACTTATAACTAAACTTAAAACATGAATTAAGCAGAAAGTTGTGTCAAAGGAATGATGAGTATGCGGGATGCATAAACTCATTCACTGTAAAGAAGTTTAAAATCAGTTAAGACAAAAGGCTGGCTTGATTTTGAAGATCATAGCACCGACAATAAAAATATAGCGATACTTCCTTTTGCCAGCATTTGGGAGTAAAATTCGAAATGAAGTAAGATATTTGCGACGGTGCTGAATGGATGGCATTTGCATTACTATCATTGGCAGTAATTCAGAGGCTGACCTTGGGACAAAATTACTTTAAATAAATGCGACATCACTGACTTAGATAAATGGTAACCTTCTTATAATCTTGTTTTATAGTAGTTCTTTCATACATGAAGCAGTCAATAATTACATTTCTGTAGTTTTGCTTACCTGAGGACGGTAGAACGTAGCAGCAGACACAACAAATTCTTATTGTAGTTTTATTCCCACTTCTGCGTTGATCCTACCCAAGTGCGAGGAATGTTTGAGATGTGTGCTCCAATTTGCAAAGTGCGATCTCACGGTTAGCCCGCTTAATTTTTTTCGAATTCAGAAAATTTGGCAGTAGGAGAAATGTTTGGCTTAGGCGTTAATTACAGTAGCGGGGTTGTGTGAAACAAGCCTCCACGAAAATAAGCTAACGTGGTTAATTCTGCGAACCGTGTTGCAAATGCGCGTGTCATCGGGTGAGGAAAAAATTGTCGTGATGAGCATTTCCCCTCTGTCTACAACTGTGATTGCCGAATGCACTTTAGCACACCGTTTAAAAGTTCATCGAGCCGCTCACGACACGGTTGACCGTTTGAAGCAATGCAATTTGCCCAGTAATTCAACTTACATGATCAATAGCAAAAACTGACGAAGTATGAGATCATTTTGGCGCATAAAATGCGTCTTCTCAAATGCAACTGGTGTTCGTGATGCGAAAGGTGGTGTAAATACCGTTGAAATTAGAAAGTGAATGAAATCACAAATAATGATAGCAGTAATGATAGGAAAAAATGAGGACTTTTAATACAGTGGTTTCCTACATTATTTAATTTATTATGGGGAAAGTGATATCTTCAAAGGAATTGGCATTTTCTAGAAACCAGGTATTCTAAAGATTACTTAGACATTTCCAATTTTGACCTCACAGTATATAAATGAGATTCGGTAGATTCAGCAAGATTTTAATGCTGTTTATGATCAAAATACACTGAAAACTAAACATTAAAAAACTCTTAGGAAACATCCCAGTATGAAAACCTCACCCATTAAGTGATCATTTTGGAACCACTACTGCACTGAACTCTCCAATTTTTTAAAATTTGTGTTATTCTGGAGTCAACTGCTTAAGATTTCATTTATAAGTTATGAGTTAATACTGCCAGGCCTGTGAGCAAATGCATGTATGGGATGGGTTCGGAAAAAATTCTGCACAAAATACATACATAATAACCAAATTTCCTTTACTTTAGAGTTACTTTCTGGCCTTAACTTCCGTGTTTTCTATAGAAAACCATCATCCGTTTTGGGTCATATTGCTCCACGTCTTATGTTCAAAGGCAGACAACGATAAATTTGGGTTTTATCTTACCTTTCCTTTGGAGATAGCATCAGCACTTAAAATGCAGTGCAGAATTTGCCATGCAGGTTGAACATCTTGAACGCGGTTTGGCACTTACCCGGCTAAGATTATCGGATCTTTGCTGTATGGAGGGTGTATACTAAACTGTAATGGTTGTGTTGTTTTAATGTTCCTTTTAGAGAGGAGGTGGGTAGACCAATCTTACCTCACGACTGGAGCTTCAACGTCGAGTAGTCAGGGGAGAGCTTCCGCAGCCTCATCCCCTAGACTTGTGCTAGTTTACCCCGTCCACTTATCTGAATAAACACGTCGCAGTCGAGTTAACCTGGGTGTTCAAAGAGTACGAATACCAGGGAAATGAAGATATAAGAGTCCCGCCATACCCTACCATTTAGAAATCGAAATGTTCGAAAGAAAGAGAAGGGCGCTCAAAATTATTTGGTGTCTTGTAGCTGTAGGGCCAGTTTAAGGTCTCATCCGAAGAATGTGGGATTTACAATGCCGAAGTATACGACCTCTGGGCAGCATTAGAAACCAAAATTTGTGCTATTGTGATGGTCTCATGTCCTGACAAAAGAACAGACGCGATATCCAGCCGCACCTAGTCTACTACTATAAATATAAATGAAATGCAAAATACTAGTCAAAGAAATGCTGTTGTACGTATAAACCGTGCCTTTAAAAATGCATCTTAATGCCCAAATTACGCGAGTTTGCAACTCGCTTGAAAAGAATTCAGGTTTTTTGCCGGCACACAATAAACTAAACTGTGTAAAATCGGCTGACAAAAGGTAAACTTCATATATATTATATGTGATGGCCATCAGTATTTAACTATCAAAATGATGATTTTATTAGTCGAAAACTTATAAACTAATTTAGTAGGAAAGAATAACGCAAAGATTTGCTGTTTTTACCTTTTGAATTAAACTTACATTGCTTTTGATACTAGTTTTGTTTGCCTGTTCTGCAATGCGTTTGAATCCATCAGTAATTATTCACTCAACATACAAAACTTCTTGCTCAGATTGGTGTATTGCCCAACAGTGCGCTTTTCGGTGAGTTAGTTTGCACTGGTGTGCATATTGTGGCTCTCTGTTGCTTTCACCCCGTTTTATGGGGGCGTTTTGTGGAAATCTTTTTTTCTTTGTGGAAATTGGATCAGTATTCAGTTGCAAGATAGTTGCTTGGTGAAATTCTAGCAACTCACCTATGCCAACCGTCTACATTCTCATTGCAACATGTTATCGTTTGGCACGATTTGCTGGATTAGTACATTTGTGTTCCACACTTTTGTGCAATGAGATTTTCATCTGCTTGTTATAGAAGAAGCCATTGCTCCTCCAGCGTGTGTGATTTGACTTCTGGGGTCACTTCCAAATCTTCTTTGATCTTAGTTGTCTGTTTTATTTCCACTCTTCAGGAGGCTTGTATTCCTTCTTAACAGATGTGGAGTGTTTTTTTTACCTTGCTCACTATGAAGACACCTTCTGAGCAGGTCTTCTCTCCCGGCCAATTGCGTCGGCGACGCCTGCGGTAATGTTCAGCACAGCTGTGGGCTCCAATGTCTTCTTGAAAACTTCAGACTGAGCCTAAATGAAAGCGTAGTTTACATGGCTGTTGACATCATCATCTATTTCTTCCGCCTTTTTGATGAGGTGTTTCCATGTTTTCCGCTATATCTCTAATACTTTAAAGACCTGTGAAACCGGTGTTTATATTCGAAGTTTTTGCGGACTGTCGCTTTATTCTGTAGGACTTGCGTTATGATAGCTCCCATAACCTAATATGTGACTCCTGATTTCGCAAATGGAGGTATCGATGACATCTTGCTGGTCTTTGTGAATAATAACAGTGCTTGCTTTGGAGCTAGTATATTTTGAGGCGTATAATTTTACTTTGTCCCCTACCTTTTGCCCTTTTTGGCCCTCACTTCTTTATTAAAAGTCTCGCTGGATTATTATATTCAACCTTTGTCGTTAAATAAGATCATTTTTTCCCATTTTACTACTTTTTTGTAGCATCGTTTTTATTCAGGAAACTCAGGTGTCCCATTTTATTGTTCGCCGCTAATCGCGACGATTTCTTCTTTGGATTTTGTTCATTTTGACACACTTGTTCTTCCTGCTTTTTGGTTTTTTTGGCTTAGATATGGTAATTTCTGTTTGAAGTCATATTGTCGGTGCCAACCTTTTTCTAGATCTATTTCCTTCGTGCAGACTATTTCAGCCCGAAAATGTTCTGATATTACTCGGTTTAACAATTTTTGGGTTCTTATTGTCCTTTGCTTTGTTCCTGTCATTTAAATCACCAATGTATAAGTGAATTTGCGTCGTCGATTTTCATTTGAGATTCAAATATTGCAATTCCTGCATTGAGCAAATGCACTACTAGATTGTCATCAGTGCAATTAAATAAATTACAGATACGCACCACGAAACGGGTTCCCACGTTGCCCGTAGCTGTCACAAAACCGAGTCATCCCGACTTCATCTATTGCAAGCAGAGCGTCAAGCCCTGGGCGCGAATTCCCTATCGATGTGGCTGGGTTCGTGGTCAATTTTTGGCTGATTCTCTCACATCCTGATGCAGAACTTGACGCTGATCCCGAGCTCTACGGCACGCTGAAAACAAATTGTTTGAAAAAGCCAGATCTCTGGGCTTTCACTGATCCTGAATTTAAAGCTGGTGGCCACAAATGCGTATGTCTCCGATCACTTATAATTGCGCTTGTTCCTTGTCTTCCTGACCGAATGATTTTACGATTCAATGGTCATGCACGCAATTCCCCTTCCTAACTCTGATAACGGATCTGCCTTACACGTTGTGTGCTCTTTTATTTCCACTCCATTCGTTCTTCAAGTAAACTAAAGGTCTCTTTCACGGCAGAAATCGCAGCACTTTCTCAGGCTTTTCAGTGGGAAGAATTGCCAGTCAAAGGAGGCACCTGATTGGAAGCACTTGGTACTGTCACCTCAGGTTTTATTTACATCTGTGTGGCACATCGTTATTAGGTGCCTTTAGTAATTGTGGTCGTATAATGGACACGTATCTTGTTTAATTTGCATCTAAGCACATTAGGGAGTGAGATTGTTCTTCTTGTCTGTGGCCGTTTCGATGTAATTGTTTTTGAAATCCTAATGTATTAGTTCAGGACGATGACCAGGATAACCCTAAGGCTGGAGGAAATCATACGAGTCTGGAAGTAGAGAAGAGCTATTGTTAGCACGGGTGACTTCGACAGGGCTGCGTACCATCCTTGTGGAGCTGTATGGTGGGAGACTAGAAAAGCCTGCATAACTGCATAAAATTAGATTGAATATCACTTTGCAATTGTTGCGTAACTTGTTGCTTTGGGCATACTGTCACCTACATCCTGGTTTCAAGGTGAAAGATTGCCAGCAGGGGAGATGGAGTAATATTAAGTGGAGTAGTTAGAAGAAGAAGCTCTCAGGTGTGCGCGGTGTCTCGTCTCTGTCATCGGAGTCAGCCAGACCTGCACAAGCATTGTCGTGCGGCCATAGGTGCGGACATGTGTACATATCATCGAATAGGCTCTCTTCCATCATCGTTCTCTATCGTCACGCCCACTTTCCTACCTTCTCTTGGGCTTCTTTTCCCTTCCCATATAGCCTCTTGTTTAACTACTTTATTGTGACTTGGTGACCCCTACCGATGGCGGCACTTCTAATCTACTGTTACGGGGAGGCATTGGGTAGATGGGGAGAGTGGTTTTAAGGGCGCCTCCGAGCTTAGCAAAAATTGCGTGGATTTTGATTTGACTGTTGCTGATGCGCGTGTATAGTTTTCTATGGCTTATTGTGACCTGTTTTCTTTTCTTACTGTCGCCTCTACCCCGGATTTTGGCTAATTTGTGCCTGTTCTACCCATTTTATTGGGTATCAGATCAGAGACCCAATGGACCAGTATTTCCTCCTTTTTATGTCACCGTTTTCAATCTCAAGATTTTATCCATTCTTATTTTTGTCGTTCTTTTAAGTTTAAAGTATCAGAATTTTTCTCTCGTGAGAGTAATATAGGCCTTTGAAGAGCAAAGCAGTATAATAGGTTGTTGAATGACATGTTCCTGCATCAGAGCAGTAGGTAAATTTCAGTAGTATCTCCTAAACCACTCATGGTAACCTTCAGTCAACAAATTGTTCAAATTTCCAGTTTTGCCACTCACGGTGTTGGT